AAAAAAAAAAAAAAGAGTTCAATTGAGGTCAAGTTGTAAGTTGACCAATGGGTTGACTCATGACCTGTGAAGGGTAAGTTAGGGTCAATTTTCACTAACCCATGACCCATTATGATCCGTGGTCCTTTTCAAGCCACCCTAACCCAACTCGACTTGCTTGTTTGCCAAGCTTAAATGCAATAACTTCTCTAGAGACTCCTTCTCACCATCTAGCACCTTCTTTCTTCACATTCAAGATGCTTATCTCTATCCCCCTAGTGCCTACACCCTACAATATCACTTGCAAAATACCTTTAGCACTTGTCCTCCATATCTAAACCATGCTCTCATTAACTTTCCTTGCTACTTCCCTATCCCTTTTACCACCATATTATCCCATAAAGTTGTCTTTGATCCCCTTATTGCTCTAATTGTGGGATTGGGAACCTTGTGTGAAAGATCTATCCTTTAATGTTTTTAAACCTAAAATGGAGGTCAACCTGTTTTAACCTGTGAATCTAGTTTGGTTGGTTAAATCATTGGTCTAACCAGATGATGTTTTTATATAATTTATATGTGATAAATGAATCTATATTTTGCATGGTGAATATAATAACACTTGGTGGCTAGATGGTAAGAATGCTATCATATATTTGACGTGTCAAGAGTTTGAGTCTTGGTTTTCCAATTTCACACCTTAACATTATTTAAATTATAATAAATATAATTTCTATGTAAATCTTGTCATTAAAAGTCATGTGGTCAAAGTGACAAACCACTTAAATTTTGATTTTGAGGATGATGCCTAGCAATGTCTCCTTTACTTTTCTTCTTAAAAAAATGGTTTAAACCCCAATTTGGTTCCTCTACTTTGGTAAAAGCCCCTTTTTAGTCTCTACTTGAAAAAGCCCTTTTTTGGTCCCTAAAGTTTGAAATTTGACCCCTTTTTAGTCCCCTGTTAAATTTTGACATTAGATTATGGAAATTTCAAATGAGAAGGACCAAAAAAGGGCTTTCTTCCAAAGTAAAGGGACCAAATTGGGGCTATTTTAGCCTCTTTTTGGTCCCTCTACTTTGAAATTTCCATTTTCTAACGTGCCACGTATGTAAAACTTAATGGAGGGATTAAAAAAGAGTCAGATTTCAAACTTTAGAGACTATAAAGGGACTTTTTTAAGTATAATGACTAAAAATGGGCTTTTTATCAAAATAAAGAGACCAAAATGGGGATTTAACAAAAAATAAAATAAAATTGAACTAGTTGGTTTATTAGGTCACGATTTTTTGGTTTTACTAGGTTATATCATTTTTATCTAGGTTAACCCTAAAAACAAGTTTGTATGTTCATCTAAACTAAATTTATAAGTGGATTCAATCTGACTAATTCAATAGGTCGAGTCAGGCTAGGTTTAAAAACACCATTATCCCCTTCTCCTTATACACTTTCCCTCCTTGTTTGCCTCTGGCTTGAGGCTACTACCATCTTACATCCTTTCACCAATCGTTGCCATAAGTAACCCCCTTGAGACCTTCTCACAAGATCCTTATCAGCCACATTTAAGTCCAGTTCCCCTCACTACTTTGATTCACCCTTACTCTTTACAAACAACCTTCTCTTCCCTTGATGCACCTAAAAGGAAAAATGAAAGAAATAACAAGGGAAATCTAAAAGATAAGAAAGATTGTTGATGTGTTACTTATTAAGAATCTAGAAATAGAAAACTAGACCTTAAGTAGCACTTCATCTTTATTTATCTTAAAAGATTTTTAGTAATCGTAAATTTTTATAATAATAATTAATTATAAATATATCTTAGAGTGTTCTTGTTCATAATCGGTAATTTTAAAGGTATTGATTAAGGAAACAAGGGTTTAAATGGTATATATGAAAAACGATTTAAGCATAAACATTTAATCAATTTAATTTTTTTAAAAAAAAAGGTTAAAATCCCATTTTGATCCTTGAATTATTGTACGAACCCCTGATTTGGTCCCTACTATTACCAAATTTACCCCAACTTGGTCCTTCCATTAAAAATCTAATGATGTGTGCTGCTAATTCATGGTTATATGATGACATGGAAAAATATTAATACACATGGAAGATAACATGACAAAAAATAATGACATGGAAAAAATAAGAATATGAAAATAATAATAATATGAAAAATAAAACTTAAAAAATTCTTTCTTTTTTTCATTTTCCTTCTCTTTCCCCTTTCCCCTTGGAACCCAATGGCTATTGGGTGATGGAACCCACGCTGGGTTCTTTCTTTTGAACCCAAAGACTGGGTATGAAAAAAAAAAATTTTTTTTTTGGTGAGTTTTGTTATTTGATGATGAAGAAGGATTGACTGATGAAGAATGAAATTTCATTTCATTGAATTAATTAATGAAGAATGAAATTTCATTTCATTGAATTAATTGTTTAATTCAGAAAAATGGTGATGAAAGTTGACTCGGAGAAGGCAAAGAGAGAAAAAAAAGGATGAATGAAGAAGATTTGAGAAAAAAGATGCTAAAGGGAAAAGATGAGGGCAAAATTGTTATTTTAGTGGGCTCCATGGTAAGAATATAATCTATAATGTTGCCATGTCATCATTTTTATCTGACATGTGTCAAAATTTTGACATGTCATTAAGTCTCTATGAATTAACGGTGACTTTTTAACAGAAAGACCAAGTTTGGGTAAAATTGGTAAATAATAGGGACCAAATCAAAGATTTTTAAGTTTAGGGACCAAATTGAGGATCTGTATAATAATTCAAGGACTAAATGGGATTTTAACCTAAAAAATAAAGACAAATTTTTAGAATTTGTTATTATACATCTTTTTACGAAACATCTTCAATTTTATGGTTTATTTCATGATCATATGTAGTGGCGGAGCCAGGGGGTGCGAGGGGGGGGCGCTCGCCCCTCCTGAAATTTGAAAATCTTGCAAATTAGTATATGAAAAATTATCTAACATCCCCTAAACTTTGAAAATTTTAGTATTTTGCCCCTC